TTCGTTTAATTCGTACACTAGAGACCCCGAGTTCTAATGGTGAAGAAGTCACGGAGCACTGTTTCAAATCATGCTCACTATAACATTGTTTATAAAATAAAAACTCTCAAAAAATCAATTCCTTATCATTTTTAACTAAATTATACGACATTCAACTATCTGATCAGGAAGCAGGCATTACAGTTTATAAAGATTTTTACTTTAGCAAGAATTTTTAATATTGTGAGGAGATAAGATACAAAATTATATACAAAGTACACACTTTATGTGAAATCCACATACATGTATAAAAACTTAGAAGGAAGACACAAGTGTGTTTTTAAAATATTATCTTGAACAGAGGACTTTACTCACTCACTGCCATGAGGATTTTAGGGGACTTTCCCCCCCCTCCTTTTTTTCTCATTGAGAACTTATATAGGAATCCTAAATTTTTGGAGCATCTGAGTGGTGACGTTAACCTACTCTGGTGCTAATCAAGATGGTGGCTGTCCACACAGAGAACAAGGTATGGTGATGTACTTTAGAAAAATCAGACACTGAAAACTCTGAACAGGACATCTCAATTGTTGATACGCAGGGCAGCTCATTGGCAACTGGTTTGGGTTTGCTATCACTTTCTACATTAAAATTATATATAATTTAAAAAATGTGCCACTGCTTAAATACTGTTTGCCTATACCTTCTTCGAAGTTCAGAGCCTCCGGAAAATGTCCAACAATGGGCCCCTGTATTTTCAGCAGTGAACAGATTATGATGTTCAATTTCCAATTCCTCTGGCATACACAATTCCTGAACTGATAGGGGCTACTTCACAGGGTGGCCCCAGGTTTTACAATGGAATTCTAGGAGGTCTAGCATACTGTACTGTCATTTTCTTCATTCATAAAATGCAGATACTGATAGTACTTACCTCAAAGGAGGTACTGTACACTTAAATGATTTAATATGGTTAAAGCATCTAGGTGGCACCTGGCAAATAGAAAGCACTATACGTCTTACCTACTACTAGTGCTCTTAATACTACAAATATTATTTCTAGTAATACTACTACTATGGTTAATACCATTACCAGTACAAGGTGCCTTCCTGGCACAGGAAGTTAAGTAGTGTGCTAGTAACTCCACAGGAGGAGGGTAAAGCTGCTTTGGTAAAGATTTTTTTTTAAATCACTTTATTATCCAACTCTTATCACAATCCATACATACAACAATTGTATAAAGCGCATTTGTACATTCATTGCCCTCATCATTCTCAAAACATTTCCTCTCCACTTAAGCCCCCGGCATTAGGTCTTCATTTTTTCCCTCCCTCCCCAGGTAAAGATTTATATTACAGCCTTGGAAATCCTAAGACAGGGGTCCTCAAACTTTTTAAACAGGAGGTCAGTTCACTGTCCCGCAGACCCATTGGAGGGCCAGACTATAGTTTAAAAAAAAATAAGCGGGCAAAAACACCCAGCGGGCCGGATAAATGTCCCTCAGCGGGCCACATGGGCCTTAGTTTGAGGACGCCTGCCCTGAGGAGTAGTTCTACTCTGTCTTATTGAGCCTGGATCTACCAATGGCCTTGGGCTTTGTTTTAGCATTACCTTTACTTTGCCTATTGCTACTGTAAAAGTGACAGTGATAAAGAAATAGTGTTCTTTTCTCATAGGGGTATTTCCCAAAGAGAATAATGCCTGCCAATGATTTAGGGAATTAGAAGGGCAAAGAAGCAAGGGAATTACACAAGAGGTTATTTTCATTAGAAGCAATGCTTCCCTGCCACTTTTCCCACCATTCTGTTAACCAGAGCACAACTGCCCCCTCCTCTGACCACACCCAAGCGAATCTTCTCCTAAGTGTAAAATGACCTCTCCCTGTCCTGCTGACTCTGAGCTTTAAATAAACACTTGTTCATATCTTTAAAGTAGATGCTGAACATGTACGTCACTGGCCATTTCAGAAATCATTTATCAAGAATATATTCAAGTATTTTTTAATAAAGAGTGAGGTAAAGAATGGAGCAACGCCTGGCTCTCCCCCAGGACCAGGGGTGAGGGACTCATGGGGGCCAGAGAACAGACCTAGACCTATGTACGAGTTTATTTCTTTTTCTTCTTTTTCTCTCTCCTTTTCTTTTTTCAACTGTATGTTTTCTTATTGTTTGGAACAGGACACTGCTGGTCTGCCTAACTATATGGGGTGGGCATGGGAGGGAAGCCCAGGGAGAAGGCAATGGGGCCAATGGCCCCGAAAGGTCTAGGGGGAAGAAAGAGGTGGGGAGAAGGGTGTGGTGAGCAGAAGGCATCATGGACAGGGGAACAACTAGGGAATCGAAACCAACATCTAGGAGAGGGTAGAAAGCCTGAGAGTGTTAGAGCAACACCATGCCAGCAGAGAGGAAGCACTGAGAGGTAGAAGAGGGGGGAAAGTGATGGCGGGGCAGGAGGCGACAGAGGCAAGCTCTAGGAGGCAAAGGTATGGATAGATAGGGAGATTAACAGAGGTGTGCACTTATGTCAATACACTAATCCATAAAGTAGAGGTACTGACCTATGTACATAAGGCAATACCCTGAGGCTGCAGATGGGCCTTGGGCCTTGGCTCATACTTTTCCTCAATACAAGAACACTTTGTTCTAACAAACTAGCATTCTGTGGTGCTCACCTCCCACACACACACACATGATCACTGAAGACAAAACGGGTGCATAAGCAGATGTGATGCCTAGCTATTAAAATATGTAGTGTCTGGGGTCTTAAAGACTTGAAGTTAAACAAGTGGCCATCCAGCAGAGAAGCAACAAAGTCCACATGGAAGAAGAACACCAGCCAGTGCGATTGTGAAGTGTCATCGAAACTGGGCAATGGGCCTCAGAAGATTCACAACAAACAATAAACAAACAAAAATGCATTGATGAGAAGGGGGTTGGGTTTGGAATGGAGAAACAAAGCCCATCTGTGGATAATGGAACATCTACCCACAGAGGGGTTGCAGGGAGGAGATGAGTCAATCAGGGTGCAGTAGAGCACTACTAGGTCAGGCAATATACCTCTGGTCTCTTGAGGCCTCCTAACCCCCCCACTATCATGATCCCCATGCCACTTCCCACTCTGGAATAGACAGGAGCATGCACATAGGTATAGGCAAGAGATAAAACTCACAACATATGGAACTCAGGAACAGCAATGGGAATAGAGATACCAAAAGGGTAGAGATAAGTGGGGGAAGTGTGGGGGAGAGGGGGGTACCGATTGGCACAAAACCACCACCCCCATGCAGAGGGAAGAACAACAGAAACCGGAGGGAAAGGGAGACAGCGGTCAGTGTGAGATCTGAAAATAATTAACAACCCATAATCTATCAAGGAGCCACGAGGGCTTGGGGGTGGGAGGGGTGGGCAGAGGGGAAAGAGGAACTGATCCTACAGGCTCAATGGAAAGTAAATGTCTAGAAAAGAATGACAAGTGTATGTATTAATATGTTGGATACAATTGATGTATGGATTGTAACAAGAGTCCCCCATAAAATGATCAGGGGGGAAATGGGGCAAGGACACCATTACCTTAAAATATATATTGTTTTAATAAATTTAAATTTAAATACCTAACATTTAAAAGCCTTTAGTCAGCTAAAATAAAAATATTTCATTGTAAAAAATACAGAATTAAGGGGAAAAACAACCGCTGAAACTGTCAGCTGCTGAAAACTTTGATGAGCTGCACATAGGCAAAGCTAAACCAAAAACAAGAACAGTTACACTCGAGTGGATTCTGACTTATGGTGTGCCTAAGTGCCAAACCACAATGGCTGACTTCTTTCCTTCCGACCTCCAACCTTTTGGTTAGCAACCACAGGTTTTAACCACTGCATCACCAAGGAGGTCCTGAACATAAGCGGTACTCTTCTACACCGTGGAGAAGCTTAGCTTGGGTGTGGTCATAGGAGGGCACAGTTGTGTTTTGGGTGACAGAATGGTGGTAAAAGGGACAGAGAAACATTGCTTCTAATTAAGAATAAGCTCTTGTGCAATTTCCTTGCCTCTTTGCCCTTCTAATTCCCTAAATCAGTTATACATTTATTTGGCCAAACTGACCGGAATAAAAAGGTCTGCATCTGCCCCAAACTGAGCCTATCAGATTATAACTGAAGAAATCAATGGGAAAAACACAGGCACTATGCACTATAGTCAAATGGCATAAATATTGGGGGCAAAAGGTCATAATTCCCCAGTCAGCCACATACAAGCCAAAGTAAGAGAGAGAGAGATATGAATCTACCCAGAGATGTACAAGAGAGACATCGTATACTCCAGAGAGACAGAAAAGTCAATGGCAGTACCTTCCCACTTCTAGTCCCATGTGATCTTGTGAACTTTCTTTACCTTCTTATATACTTATGAGACTGCCTGTTACAGTCTTAGAGTTGTACATAAATCTCCCTTTTACATAGATCATCTTGAGGCAGATTTTATACCCTCGGAACAAATGTACATTAAACACACCTGACATGTTCATGTAACAAACATAAGTCACCAGCATGTTTTTCATTCTTAGCCCTTTGATAGAGATTAGATCAGTGTTTAAAATGTCAAACTGTCTTATTAAAAGATTAGTGTTCTCCCTTGCTTTTTGTCAGTAGAAGAAATAAGAAAATAACTAAAAAAAAACCTCCCACACTTATAAACAATCTATTAAAGAATTGGTTTTACAATACCTGCTTCTTGGAAGAAACATGGATTCCTTAATAAATACAGAGCCAGAGAGAAGGATGTACCAGCAGGTCCCAATATCATCAGGACTGAAAAAAAAGATAATACCATTAAATGATTGTCCAAAACAAATATAAAAACATATATAGCACAAAGCATGTATTTTTATAGTCATGAGGAAAAATAAAATATCATGAAACATTTTAATTACTTAACTTAGAATCATTTTTAATGTTTTCTCTCAAATAAGCAAAAGCCCTTTCTCGGTAGATTTAAATTATTTTAAAGACTCCTTAGACTTCCTACCATTCTCAAAGTTTAATTATTGAACTTTTGGACAAGATATACTTTACTTCATGAATAAAAAAGTATAAAGAGAGCAAATCATGAAAAGTATCTTTCTCAACCCATTCCTATCTACTAAGTTCACATTATTTCTCAACCACATTTTGTGTACTTTTTCAGAATTTAAAAAAAAATAGAATGTGTACTTCTATTTTCTTGGACTTACACAAGAACCTTCTTTTTAAATTTTTCTTTTGTCCATCATTAACAAGTACATGCACAACAACGTAAACCAGAGTTGACAATACAAAACACGTTCACAAGAATACTTGACAAGAGGAGGGAACCATGCTATAGGAACCAGGGAGCTTCTATTTATGGTGATGGAAACTTGACAAAGATTAGGGGTGATGGCTGCACATTATATCACTCAGCCACACACCTGAAAAAACAGTAAACTGGCAGATATTCTGCTATATAGTTTACAACAATTTTTGTTAAATAGTTTACAAACTTATCAACTAAGGTCAAGGGGATCATCATCTCAGATCCATTCACCTAGAAATTTAATGTTTCTCAAGAAACCTTACGTGATTAAATGTAAAGTCATATACATTTTTAATTTTTTAAATCATTTTATTGGGGGCTCGTACAACTCTTGTCGCAATCCATACACATATCCATTGTCTCAAGCACCTTTGTACATATGTTGCCATCATCATTTTCAAAGCATTTTCTTTCTACTTGAGCACTTGGTATCAGCTCATTTTTCCCCTCTCTCCCCCTCCATCCCTCCCTCATGAACCCTTGATAATTTACAAGTTATTACTATTTTTTCATGTCTTGCAGTGTCCTATGTCTCCTACTCCCCTTTTCTGTCGTCCATCCCCCCTGGGAGGGGGTTAAAGGTAGGTCATTGTGATCAGTTCCTCCTTTCTACCCCCACCTTCCCCTTCCCCTCCTGATATGGCTACTCTCAATATTGGTCTCAGGAGTTTATCTGGCCTATGTTCCCTGTGTTTCCAGCTCTTTATCTGTGCCCAGCTATCAAAAGATATAGTGTCTGCGGTCTTAAAGGCTTGAAGAGAAACAAGCGGCCATCTAGCTGAGAAACAACAAAGCCCACATGGAAGAAGCACACCAGGCCGTGTGATCAGGAGGTGTCCATGTGATCATGTATCAAAGACCCAGAGGAAAAAAAAATTAATGTGAATGGGCGGGTGGGGGGCGGGAGAGGGCGGAGTGGAGGCACAAAGCCAATCTGCAAGCAATTGGACATCCCCAATAGAAGGGTCATGGGGAGAAGACTGACGGGCCAGTCAGGGTGCAGTGTGGCACTGATGCAACATACAGCTTTCCTCTGGTTCTTTAATGCTTCTTCCCATCCAATACCGGGACCCTAATTCTGCCTTACAAATCTGGCTAGATCAGAGCATGTACATGGTGGGTACAGAATTTTTTTAAGCATCTTAAGTCCCATTCCATTGTATAGGTGTACCTAGTTTGACTTAAGTAGCCCCTACTAGTGATGACTCATGTTGTTTTCAACCATGAGCAATTATTTAAATTAAAAACAAAATAACAAATCTACAATAACTCACCTTGGACACACAGGCTTAAATATGAAGATAAAACCTCAGGAATGCAACTGAATCCATCCAAAGGGTGCAAACATTGTTAACGGTGTAAACCCAAACCAAGCTCACTGCCATCAAGTTGATGCCAACACCAAGTGACCCTGTATGACAGAGGAGAGCTTCCCCGTAGGAATTCTTACACTACACATCTTTACAGGAGCACAGCCTCATCGTTCTCCTGGGAAGCACCTGCTTAACCCACTGTGCCACCCTCTGGTAGTGGTCAAGACTGCCAACTTGTCCTCACACCTCACTAATATAGTATTGTGGGGGTAATGGCTGTGGAGGTTAGAATGCATAAAGGAGGAACAGCGTAGAAAGGGCAAAATGTTACTCGGCCTTCTCCATGGGCCTATGAGGCGGCAAACCATCTATCTCTCTGTCAATGGCTCCTGGCACACCGGTAAGGCACAATGGCATGCTCTGTAAGCTTTCACACTCCTCTGCGTGCTAGCCCCCAGCCAAAACCCTGCCTCTTCCTCATTAGCACAATTTTATAACCTTATAAGGATAAGTTTTATAACAAGGAAGTAAGTGCGGTCACAATTGATTGGCTTATGCGCCCTATATAAACTGTGTAAAGACAACAATAAAATAGATCTGCTCCATCAGAGCCTGGTCTCCGGAGTCTGTGATCAGTGACTCCGTCTCCCTCACTCCCCTGCGGGTCGAACCTGTTCCCACATAGTATGTTCTTTTTATTTAACAAAGTTTTAACAAATGTATATGAAGTCATACAGTGCTGCTATAACAGAAATACCACACACAGGGCTTTGACAGAAGTGTATTTTCTCACCATCTGAGAGGCTAGAGGGCTAAAGTGAGGGTGCTGGCTCAATGGGAAGGCCTCCTCTGTCCATTTTGGAAGGAAGTCAGTCTCTGAACCTCAGCGCTTACTAGCTGTTCTTAACCTGTGGGTCGCGACCCCCTTGGGGGTTGAACAACCCTTACAAGAGGGTGGCCTGATTCATAACAGTAGAAAAACTAGGTATGAAGTAGCAATGAAAATAATTTTATGGTTGGAGGTCACCACAACATGAGGAACTATATGAAGGGCCGCGGCATTAGGAAGGTTGAGAACCAATGGACTAGATGATCTTCATGTGAGCTGGAATCTCTCTAGAGACTGACTCAAGATACACACCCTCCTAATCCTGTCTCATTAGCACAACCACATGCATCACTCAAAAATTCACTCTCGTGGAGTTGATTCTGACTCATGGCGGACTGTAGGTTTCAGAGGCTGTAAATCTTATTGGGAATAGCAAGCTTCATTTTCCTCCCATGGAGAGGCTGGTAGTTTTGAATTGCTGACCTGGTTAGCATCCCATGTCACAACACACTATACCACCAGGTCTCCTTAACCATAGTCATAAAAGTTAGGATTTTCTGCACACATTTTTGAGGAATCTAAATCAGTCTATAATAAGGCTGTTTTAGGCACTTAGGCTGTTGACTCCCATACAAGCATACAGAAACTGGAGCCATATAGTATTCTGTTAGGGTACGACACATAATAAACAATATAACATAATAAACATATATCTGGTCATAATAAGGTAAGGTAGTCACTGCTATGGGTTAAAAACAGTGCAGAAAAAGGAAAATTGGGAGGAATGGACTACAACTTTAAATGGGGACGAAGCTAAGCCTGAGAATACCCAAGCAAAAGTGACGGGAACGTTAACCCCTTGGATCCCTAAAAGAGCAGCACTCTTGGCAAGGGAAGAGGGGTGTCGGAATTAAAGCCGCATGGTCGACACCATAAAGAGGCTAGTGTGACAGAAGCAGGTGAATGAGAGATAAGTAGCAGGGGACCAAGCAACACTACAATACATTAGAGAGATGTGTATTAACCCTTAAGATTTTTTTTGCTAGTCCACTTGGTGAAAATGATCTCCATTTAATTTTAATTTTCATTCTATTATTACTACAAAATCTTTTCTTATAGTTCATAAGCTATTTATCCTGCCCTTCTGTGAAATTAGGTCATAACCTGCAGGGCAGTGAATTACTTAATGTGGCTCTTCTGGCCAAAGTCTTTAATGCCCACCAAATGACCTTTTCCTACATGGTAACAAATAAGGCAGGAGAAGATAGTGATAGGATTCACCTGTGACTAATTGTGAACCAGATTCCCGCAGTGCCATCTTGCTGTGTATAAAAATGAGCCCTCTACGTAGAGATTCTGGTGGTTTGGAGCAACAGCAATTTTGCTGAGCGGAATTACTAAGAGGCAGAAGAAGGGCGAGCGTGATGGTGAGGCAGGAGGAAGGTCCAAGGAAACAGGAAAGCTATGGACATAGCTGGATATGGATATAACAGCAAAGCTATGGATATAGGTGAACATAGGTGTGCATTTACGCAAATATATTAATTCATAAAAATAGAGGTATTAGCCTATGAACATATATTTATATGGCAACACATTGAAGAAGTGGACAGACTTTGGCCTCTCTCAATGCAAGAACGCTTTGTTCTAACAACCTGGCAAATGTGGTGAAGAAAGCTGATGGTGCCTGGCTATCAAAAGACATAGTGTCTGGGGTCTTAAAGGCTTGAAGTTAAACAAGCAGCCATC